ACAATTAATTTTTGCCTTCATTGTTTCAAAATTGTTTTATATTGTTTCATGTGCACCTCATCGAACTCATTCATATCGTGAATCAGATTCGTTGAAGTCATTCCTAATGTGTTTAAGACTAGAACACTGTCCTTAGATATCAGTCCTATTACTCAGTGCTTGAAACATATCTTTTAGTATGGCAATGTATTGCAACATATTTGTACAACTGTTTGAAGGATTTAAAAGCCGATCTTAGATGATTTTCCAGAGGAATTGGATTAAACCTCAAATTCAGCTTGTTCATTACGTTTGTTCTAAAAATAGAATTTGAATACAAGTACATCGTGATATGTCGCCAGATTGTTTTGAATAGGAGTACCTTAATATATCGTAATACGAAATCTGTCATACTAACTTTAGTGCGCAACTGCCGACAATCTTCGCTTAAAACAGGTTGTAGACAAACAAAGAATGTTTTGAATTAATCATTTTATCTACCTTGCAGCGCTTTAAGTCAGCTGCATATTGTTTGTTATTCAAAACACGTTTGGTATCTTTCTGCACAAAATCTTTTGATCGATGAAACGTCGCAGATAAAATTAAATACTTTTTAGCTCATTAACTATTCCATGTGTAAAATACACAATATTTCGTCATCATATAATTAGAAGAGTTTTAAAAAGCCAGTGAAAATTACCATGGTCAGCGTTAGAATGAAGACTATGCATATAGAATAAGACAAAGCCTAGAAACTAAACCATGTTTGGCTTTCTGCCACGCGTGACAGCTACCATGTGTTATGGTAAGAGTAGGTTTTGGATGAATGAAAAAAAAAAACCTCAACTTTTAACTTTTCGGAGTTAACATGCCGGTGGTGATTCAAATTCAAGAACTTTTTGCCAAGAAGTCGGCAACATACATGCACACTACACATGGTTACGAGAGATTCAGGCTGATACAGATAATGAGGAAGTTTCATGGTCTTCATAATGATCTTATTTAGAAACATAATGATCTTATTTAGAAATATTCTTCTATTTCTCTGGGCGACATGAAGTCGGACATGTTTGATGCTCGTTAGTTTGTCTGATGGTTTCGTTGTAACGTGGGAACGTGATATCACTGTCTGAAATTTATCGATTTTAATGTGTGTGGGTGGGTTGGGGAGGGGGGAGTGGGCGTCGTCGATGGAGCAGAAGACGCTTACTCTTCCGGAACACCTGCGCTTATTTTCCGTGTACTTTTTCAGAAGTCTCCGTGTAATTTTTTCGTTTGTTCATATATTGCATAGCTTCATCAAATTTAAGTTTGCATTAAGCTTTTGTTGACATATCAGTATTTTTGTTGTTGTTTAATTACTTGAAACGTTTGTCAACATCTTGCTGAAACTAAAAGTATTATATAAAAGAAGATGAGAACAGTCTGGCTCTTTGCTAACACCTTCAATTGTATACATTTGGAACAACATTTTTTTATCCGATCCTGGCCTCGTACGTAACAAGATGTGGGTGCTAAACCATTTTGGAGCAATCCTTGTGGACATCGCCTTCTTCATGGCATGCTCTTCATGAAGATATAGTTTATCGCGCGGCTGTTTGACTTAGGAACCATCACACTGGAACATGAACTGAATGTTAACCTTTAAGGCATCGAGTGTATAACTTTGATGAAAGAAATTTCAATCAATAAGAACGGGAATGAGGAAGTGTAGTGATATTAATGTAGAGTATCGGCACTTGAACGAACGGTTAAACTGTAAAGCGTTTTATCTTGAATTGAAATTCGAGAAACATGTCAGGAATGCGTACATTATCTTAACAACAGTTTACAGATCTAAATTAGTGACTTTCTTTGACCTATTTGACATGAAACTAACACAAAATTGTTGATATATTACTTGGATAATTCAATTTGAGTTTTTGACACGAAAATAGAGAAAATGGAAAAAATACGATTTTGTGTGGAATGATATAAAATTTTTACCTACGAAAAACAATGCCATGGTCTCACGCTTTACTAATGAAAGAAGAATGGCAGGTTACATACCATTCCATATCATCGACCTAGATTAAAAAATTGCAGGCGTATGGTAGTTCTCATTAAGGCAACGGAGCGATATTTTCATGTAAGTTAATTGTAATACTGCATAAGAACAGTTACATCGCACATAATGTTACCGACAAAAATATAATAATCAAGAGATCCATAATTGTATGGCAAAACGACGTCCGTGGTTGTTTCGTCTCCATTCTTCCAATCCCACAAAACAGAACATAAGACATATAAACAAGGAGAGCAGTTGCTAAATATAGATAGATCAGCCCCTATTCATCATTTCCTTCTGATCTAGAGTTATGCAGGGGTTAATTGATGTCATATTGGTTCTACAACTGCTTTCAGGATCCACATCACATAAATCTGTTATCTTTGACTCTCAACTATTGCCGATGATTACTAAAATCGGATCCAGTCTAGACCTTAGTGGGGTGAAGCTGCGGTATGAATATGTAGTAAATCTGTCATATGACTTCATGGATTGTCAAGATTACCACGGACGCAAGCACGGACGTACTCACGGACAACACAGACGATATTCTTAGTGTCCCCCTTTCCTAGGAAAGGGGTTTAAAACCCTATTCAGTATAGTCTGTTACCAGAGAGTACCCTATATGTTCAAACATGGTGGTTTACCATTGTGTACTTCCGGGTTATATCGTATTTTTAGATGCTTACCCGTCGTGTGTATTTTCACTGCAAATGTTTGTTCCACTTGAGGTCGTGTGATTCTGCTGTCCTTCCGTACTCCTTGTGTTTGGTTGTCGCTACCCGGAGTTGCTATGTACATGTTTTAGTATGAATAGACGAGTGGCGGTGCCCGTCGTACATGGATAGATTTAATCAATAACACCATGGCGCTTAAAATATATCACCCGCTTACTTAGATTGTCCAAAAAGGCCAGGTACGTCAGTTTGTTTATCAGAAACCTTACATATATTGAACTCATTATGTGGCATGGCTTTAACACAAGTCCGAAAAGATATGTGTATTGACTGCAATATATATACATGGCGTACCTTGTCACGAGGAACTATGATGTATGATAAATATAGACCCAGTGTTATAAATATGTACTTGTACACACTGTCAGCTATGTGTACCGTCCACAATGTCACAACTACAAACACTGTAGAAACATATTCAATATAAAAATATATATACAAGTACATAGTGTCACACTTACAGTACAATAGATATGTACTACCGTCCACAATGTTACAACTACAATATAATAAACATGTTCTGGTACACAACTTGCAATAAAGTAGATTAACCGTCCACATACTGTCACAATCTACAATACAATATATGTGTACAGCCGTCCACATACTGTCACAATCTACAATACAATATATGTGTACAGCCGTCCACATACTTTCACAATCTACAATACAATATATGTGTACAAACGTCCACATACTGTCACAATCTACAATATAATATATGTGTACAAACGTCCACATACTGTCACAGTCTACAATACAATATATGTGTACAAACGTCCACATACCGTCACAATCTACAATACAATATATGTGTACAGCCGTCCACATACTGTCACAATCTACAACACAATATAAGTGTACAATACAATATATGTGTACAGCCGTCCACATACTGTCACAATCTACAACACAATATAAGTGTACAAACGTCCACATACCGTCACAATCTACAATACAATATATGTGTACAGCCGTCCACACACTGTCACAATCTACAATACAATATATACGTGTTTTACAAAATGCAGACAACTACTTTTTGCTTGTGAATAAATTTAACTATATATTTTGAATGAAGTTTTGGTCCAGAAAATGTCGCCTACACCTGCAGACACCGTGGTATGTCTTTTTTGAATTATTCTTGTAAAATAGTAAATATATCGATCAGATATGCAATAAATAGGTGATGTAAATATTCATTAGCTTAATCAATAAAAAGACTCATCATCAGCAGCCATTTGTGTAAATCGATAAATGATTACTATAGATTGGCAATTAAAACAAATCCAATTATTATACAAAATTTGTCAAATTTTAATGAAAACAATGTCAAGAAAAATATAGCATGAAATATGGGTAAAGATATGTGTGGTATTTCTTGTTTATGTCACATAGATAAAAAGTCCACCCCATCAACAGCAGCAGTGTATATTACACCATCAAATTGGATGTAATGCTATCAACCGATTTTGTTCTAGTCGTATCTTATCATTCGTTTCATAAAAGAACAAATCAACGCCACTATAGTTAGAAAAAAAAACCCAGTAACAGACAGAAATAATATCGAATACACCTACCAATATAATGTTATTAAATTAATGCCCCAAAAACACAGTAATAAACACATACAACTAAGTTAAATGGATGACATATATGCAAATTTCTGTGTAGATAGAATTAATACGTTTACCACAGAAAGCAATACTGTATACTTGTATTTCATGGCACATAGACCAAGGTTAAGTCTGAGAACTATACTATTACTATCTTTCATGTCTATCTATCGACCTGGAGAATTATAGGTTTCGTTCATTATCTTTAAAGAAAGCAAAAATATATCATCTCTGTGATAAAGCGATGGAGGTCTCTACTAAATTATCAAAATCTGTAAATGAAGTTTGTCAGCTGTACAGGGCTTGCATGAAAAAAACCCAGCTTCTGTGGTCTGGTTAAAACAGTTTTAAACCTCAAGGTTTCAAGCAGCATGTCCATTCCCTTCCGTCCAAGATATTGAAGTTCAGCTGAGAACGACATTAACTAGACACACAGGTTATTTACATATCACAACTATACCACTAAGTATCACAATGAGAAAGGACGTATCCTTATAGGTTTTCTACAAACAAAAACACTTCATAATAGATTGCTGTACAATCTCCTACAGCACAGTTAGTTTGAGAACAATGTTGATCGTTCACTATTTCACTGATACTGGTACAACAGTATTTCCTTCCTTCATTTTTATGACATCTTTCCAATTCTAGATGGTTGAGATCACGTTTGATAACAGATGTAATAGAAACGCGATCCACGTCGATTTAAAACTGGTGTTAAGTAGTTATTCCCGATATACCATTTTATCTACATACGGTTAAACTTGCCGACCTGTTGGTTGCAGTTTGGGCAGGAGTGAATGACATCCTTGCAGCCATTAAGGCAGAATGGAATGAGGCAACAGCCGATCCACAATCTGAGGTAAAGATAACTTACGTTAACGACAAAGACGACATGGTTACTATTTTTTATGTTAACTCCACACTTAAAATTTTGCAAAATTTAAAGACATAACCCAATTTAATGTTTATTTGGCGAGTGCGATATATTTGTAGTAATGTTGACACTAGTGTTGACAACTGGGACGTTGAATGCTGGGACTGTGGTATATAGATATTTTGATGTTGACAATGGTGTTGACTCTGGACTTTGAATGCTAGGACTGTGGTATATAGATATTTTGATGTTGACACTAGTGTTGACTCTGGACTATGAATGCTAGGACTGTGGTACATATATATTTTGATGTTGACAATAGTGATGACACATGGGACTATGAATGCTAGGACTGTGGTATATAGATATTTTGATGTTGACACTAGTGTTGACTCTGGACTATGAATGCTAGGACTGTGGTACATATATATTTTGATGTTGACAATAGTGTTGACACATTGGACTATGAATGCTGGGACTGTGGTATATAGATATTTTGATGTTGACACTAGTGTTGACACATGGGACTATGAATGCTGGGACTGTGGTATATAGATATTTTGATGTTGATAATGGTGTTGACTCTGGACTTTGAATGCTAGGACTGTGGTATATAGATATTTTGATGTTGACACTAGTGTTGACTCTGGACTATGAATGCTAGGACTGTGGTACATATATATTTTGATGTTGACAATAGTGATGACACATGGGACGTTGAATGCTGGGACTGTGGTATATTGATATTTTGATGTTGACACTAGTGTTGACACATGGGACTATGAATGCAAGGACTGTGGTACATATATATTTTGATGTTGACACTAGTGTTGACACATGGGACTATGAATGCTGGGACTGTGGTACATATATATTTTGATGTTGACACTAGTGTTGACTCTGGACTTTGAATGCTGGGACTGTAGTTTGTTGGTAATTTGATATTGTGACAATAAATTGATGCTTTTGAGCATTTTCTTTCTTGGCGCCAGGTAAAGTATGTATGATAAGAACACTTACCCCAGAAGGATCAGGATGCCACAGAGAAGCCAGGCGAGCGTGCCAGTGACGTATGAAGTGGAAGTGACTATTTGCGCATTACAAAATGGACAGGCCATGCTGACGGGACTCTCACGGAAAATATTGATGGGTTGTGCATATCCCGGATTCGTGACTATCACAGTATGTTGAGCTGCAGCAGAAATTTAATCAATATGAACCGAGGTTAGATAAGTATTGAAGTGATTTAAAGTTGTCACTGGTTCGGCTCTTGGGACAGACATCAGTTTGGACTCTTGAAGAAGACGCTTCCTGTTGGGATAGACTCAGCTGTAAATGATTGGCAGTGCGTACGTGTCATCTTTGAGGGAAACGCCGGTGATATAACTAGCTATAGGTTTTAAAGTCCTATAGATGTTATGGACGAATCATAAGTTGTTGACAGAACTGAATGAGACGTCAGACAGGCGGTGAAGAAGAGGAATATTAAGCCGGATTGTGTGGACACCAGTAGAAACCAGGAGTCAGTGACAGAACTGGAATTTTTAAACAGACTGGTGGCGAAGGCGAGCATGACTGGAACCGTACAGACTGGATACAATATCACTTGCTACCAAGTTCATTTTGTCCCATTAGGGTACCGCTGAGTTTACATTGTAGATGTACACCTCACTAGTAATATAATGACAGGTTCTGCCTGGTCGCGAGTTTAAAGACTGATGTGATATATTTCTAACACAATTTCGATACCAATGAATGTTAGAGAACCGCCCTTTATAGATCTTAAGAGGTGAAAACACATGGAAGGACCAACTAAATGCACATATATATAATCCGAATTTGTAACATAATAATTATGACTACCTGACGTTTGTTCTCAGCTGTATTTGTTTAAATGTTCTCAGTGAATAAGAAATGTGAATCCGGATAAATACTAAATCTCAATAGAAGGATAGCTTAAATTCAAAATATGGCGACTCGAATAAATTCTTAATTAGGACAATTCCGATACATGCGATTGTCTTATACAATATCAACACTAAGAATAAGCTTCAAGAATTGTAAACATCCCCATCGCTAAACATCAGTGGTGAAGCTCATAATTAATAACATTGAAGTACAGTGGTAAATGAGGTAATCCTATATTACTATGGTGACGTATATCCGGCCATTATCCGCTACTATTGCAACTTATATGTGTCAATCATCCTTGATATAGTGATGTAAATTTGGTCACTCGGCGTTACTAAACTGTACCTGGTTTGATAGCTAATATCATAGCCGACCTCTTTTGGTTTTAACATCATACATGCTATTATAGATGTTTGTGTCCTGCGTGAAATATCAAAAGGGCATAGTTATGCTCAACTGTCACATACCAAAGAAAAAATGGCAACACTCCACCTGTGTTAATTATGACAAAAAAAAATAATAAAATGTCATTTCTGAATAGTGTGGAGCGCGGAATGCGGGCGGGTGTTGGGGGTATGGTTTGGGGTTGTGTTTGGGGTTGATGTTTGGGTTGGGGTTGTGTCTGGGGTTTGGGGGTGTGGGTTGGGGTTGTGTTTGGGGTTGAGGTTTGGGTTGGGGTTGTGTCTGGGGTTTGGGGGTGTGGGTTGGGGTTGTGTTTGGGATTGGGGTTTGGGTTGGGGTTGTGTCTGGGGTTTGGGGGTGTGGGTTGGGGTTGTGTTTGGGATTGGGGTTTGGGTTGGGGTTGTGTCTGGGGTTTGGGGGTGTGGGTTGGGGTTGTGTTTGGGGTTGGGGGGTGTGGGTTGGGGTTGTGTTTGGGATTGGGGTTTGGGTTGGGGTTGTGTCTGGGGTTTGGGGGTGTGGGTTGGGGTTGTGTTTGGGGTTTGGGGGTGTGGGTTGGGGTTGTGTTTGGGGTTGGGGGTGTGGGTTGGGGTTGTGTCTGGGGTTTGGGGGTGTGGGTTGGGGTTGTGTTTGGGTTTGGGGGTGTGGGTTGGGGTTGTGTTTGGGTTTGGGGGTGTGGGTTGGGGTTGTGTTTGGGGTTGGGGGGTGTGGGTTGGGGTTGTGTTTGGGGTTTGGGGGTGTGGGTTGGGGTTGTGTTTGGGGTTGGGGGTGTGGGTTGGGGTTGTGTCTGGGGTTTGGGGGTGTGGGTTGGGGTTGTGTTTGGGATTGGGGATGGGGGTGGGGGTTGTGTTTGGGGATGGGGTTGGGGGATGTGTTTGGGGTTGGGGATGGGGTTGGGGGATGTGTTAGGGGTTGGGGATGGGGGTGGGGGTAGGTTGGGGCTTTAACGGCTCGTTAATGAAAAAACACCCTGCTCAGAACAGCCATTTAATGGCTCGGTTTACTAAACCAAGGCCATGGATTAGTAAACCGAGGCCACGGATTGCTAAACCGAGGCCTCGGAATTAAGAAAAAAAACTGTGATGTCCCTTCCGGGGCTCCATAGATATCTTTTGTTTTAATTGGCCTCATTGAGTCACGTTTCAATGACATATAATTATACCAACGATTTTTCTGGCACATTGTACATCTTGATTAAAGTTACAAGCATTATGGCGTCGTGTTTTTCTCCGGTCAGTCATTCTGTCGATCCATTTCTAAGTCGCGGATTTCGCTTTCTTCGCACGCCTACACAAATTGTAAATGTAGATGGTCGGTTTTATTTTTCATCATTAAACGAGAGACATTGTCATTCTTACAGAGACAGCGTTCAATAAGCTCATCCAAGTAAACAAATATTACAGATAACTCGTTCTGATTTCCTGATCAATTTCGTAAAATATTTCATGGCTATACATAGATAATTAGATCTAACCACCGTGTATCTACCATTCCGAAATAAGAAGCTCAGAACTAAACCACTTCTTACCTGATTGTTGTGTGGGATATCCCATAGGTTGCTGAGGTTGGGTATATCCCGGGGGTGGTGGAGGTTGAGCCATCGTGGGTGCTGGTGGTAATAACACCTAACCTGTTTTTCTGATGTCAGTAGCGGCCTGACTGCAAGCGACTATCGGCAGGTAGGCAATGTTAGTCGATACCGCACAAACACACATTATTTCATTGTCCGTACCGCATGGCTGATTCTCCGTGGAAGGAAGCCCTCCAGGACGGAATGTATATGAATTTTACAATACTTTGCTTCCGTAAATATGCTGTACGCAAAGACGTTATTACATAAAAAATGTTGATTCGAGTGTTTATTAGAGTAATCGTTATCAATAAATACTACCATTTCTGTATCGATTTAAATCAAACATTGTGACGTTAGTTGTGTACAATTCAGTGGCGTGTCACGTGGTTCATTTCACCATTTATTTTTATTTTCAAAAAAATGTCTATATCTTAAGTCCCTGGCCGTTTCGTGGACTTAAAACAGTGAAAACAAAGTAGGATAAACTAATTTGTTTTAATTATTTACTGTCTTGTCACAAGCGTTGCTGGAGGTCTCGGCGTGTATATATTTATCAAACTGTAACTCTTTATCCATGTACCAATGACAGAGCCAAATTTATACTAATATTTGGCATGGTATTTACCTGATCTGGATTAAAATGATCTGGATTAAAATGAATTGTCACATTTTAACAATGTATTAACAAGTCTAGCTCTTTATAATATGTTAGCATACACAGATAAGGCATGTTAAGTCGAGTTTCGCCACAGATACCTTGTCTAGATACATTCATAACCTAATGACAAATTTAATTAAATTCACTCCATCCAAACACTAATTGAAATCATTGATAATTTCACGTGGCCTTGACGTGACTAGTAGACACTTAAAAACAAGAATATCAGTGAATACTACCCGAAAACGATTTTATCGGACACAAAAAAAAAATCAAAAGGCAATAATTCTGTAATTAAAAAGTTGCAGGCCCTGAATTTTGCACGATGCAAGTAGTTTCAATAACTATTAAATTATTTAATTATTCGGAGAGGACAAAAACCTATTGCGAAGTCGCTTTTATTTGTTTAGTGTAGTGTGTGGTATGTCAGGTCTACCGTAAACAATGGAATGTGTTTGTTGTGTTAATCACCAAGACAGCAAAGGCCGTATTGCACAATCAACACGACGACTTCTATTTGTGTCATAAATACGTCTTTGTTAGTAATCTATAAAACGAGCAAATGCACACAGTATACGATGGTGATGGTATACTCTCGAGCACCAATTGATGGAGACCTTGGGAGGGGGAGGGGCATATATCCAATTTAAAGGCTCTGAAGGAGAAGACACACATGAGCGTTATTTGGGTTGTAAATCAAGCATTGACATATTTACTGTGTAAACTGTGTGTATCCAAAATGTGATCGCGTGATAACGTATCTCTTGGTATTCCTGGGGATTAATAATTGAAAGTATACAATGTATGTATACATTTTAAAAGGTTTGACAAAGGAAAAATACACATTAGCTGATAATATGCACAAAATACTAATGGAATTCGTGCTTGATTTTCAGCAAAAGGACAGGTGTCTTGACGCCACCAATGACGCTGGTAAACTAGTACCAAAGCTGCATTTGGACAAAATGAATTATTTTAAAATTTTGTGTCAAGAAATCTACTTAAAATGTATTACACTGTGCATTATATGATAGCTTATATATAGAGGGGACACAACTTTGACATCGTGACATTTGATCGCGCTTGATCGGAACAATTGGTACGGAGTCTCCGTCGTATAATTGGTTTAGCATCATCTTTCAACGATGTTCATCAGAAGGCGCGAGGGGGTTATCTTTATCCCGTAAGCTTTCAGAGTCGGGATGGGTCACTAGAATTCACAAACTGTCACAAAAGCAGAACGTCTGGGATCAAAGCAGTCTTCTTCCGCCAGGTGTCGGTCCAGTGGCGGAACTTGCTTTAAGAATATTCAGTCATTATAAACTGGCAGTAAAGGAACTACATGAGATCGTTAAAACAGTAACAAATGGAGTGATACTGCGCCCGTAACTGAAATTATCCTCTGTGTAGTACTGAGATATGATGTTTTAAATGACGTCAAACAACTTCTTAACGGTAATATAACAACAACCAGCGGGACAGAGATTTATTCTGGCGAGAGGGCTAGAGGACCAGCGTTAATTTAAAGCCTATCGTCAGCACCAATACTAAACATGTACCATCGACATTGTCAACAATCTCAGCATTAGGCAAGGTCCAACGACAATATCAGTATTACCAGCACTAGACAAGGACCATCGACATTGTCAGCAATCTCAGCGTTAGGCAAGGACCATCGACATTGTCAACAATCTCAGCATTAGGCAAGGACCATCGACATTGTCAGCAATCTCAGCGTTAGGCAAGGACCATCGACATTGTCAACAATCTCAGCGTTAGGCAAGGACCATCGACATTGTCAGCAATCTCAGCGTTAGGCAAGGACCATCGACATTGTCAGCAATCTCAGCGTTAGGCAAGGACCATCGACATTGTCAGCAATCTCAGCGTTAGGCAAGGACCATCGACATTGTCAGTAATCTCAGCGTTAGGCAAGGACCATCGACATTGTCAGCAATCTCAGCGTTAGGCAAGGACCATTGACATTGTCAGCAATCTCAGCGTTAGGCAAGGACCATCGACAATATCAGTATTACCGGCACTAAACAAGGACCATCGACAACGTCAGTATTACTAGCACTAGATAAGGAACATAGACTAGGTCAGTATTACCAGCACTAGGCAAGGAACATAGACTAGGTCAGTATTACCGGCACTAGGCAAGGACCATCGATATTATCAGTATTACCGGCACTAAACAAGGAACATAGACTAGGTCAGTATTACCAGCACTAGACAAGGAACATAGACTAGGTCAGTATTATCAGCACTAGACAAGGAACATAGACTAGGTCAGTATTACCAGCACTAAACAAGGAACATAGACTAGGTCAGTATTACCAGCACTAGACAAGGAACATAGACTAGGTCAGTATTACCAGCACTAAACAAGGACTATCGACAATGTCAGTATTACTAGCACTAGACAAGGAACATAGACTAGGTCAGTGTTACCAACACTAGACAAGGACTATCGACAATGTCAGTATTAGCGGCACTAAACAAGGACTATCGACAATGTCAAGATAACCAACACTAAACAAGGACTATCGAAAATTTCAGAATTACCAGCACTAAACAAGGACCATCGACAATGTCAGTATTACCAACACTAAACAAGGACTATCGACAATGTCAGTATTACCGGCACTAACCAAGGACTATCGGCAATGTCAGTATTACCAACACTAAACAAGGACTATCGAAAATGTCAGTATTAGCGGCACTAAACAAGGACTATCGACAATGTCAAGATAACCAACACTAAACAAGGACTATCGAGAACGTCAGTATTAGCGGCACTAAACAAGGACTATCGACAATGTCAGTATTACCAACACTAAACAAGGACTATCGACAATGTCAGTATTACCGGCACTAACCAAGGACTATCGACAACGTCAGTATTACCAACATTAAACAAGGACTATCGACAATGTCAGTATTACCAACATTAAACAAGGACTATCGACAATGTCAGTATTACCAACACTAAACAAGGACTATCGACAGTGTCAGTATTACCATCACTAAACAAGGACTATCGACAATGTCAGAGTTAACAGCACTAAACAAGGACTATCGACAATGTCAGTATTACCAACATTAAACAAGGACTATCGACAATGTCAGTATTACCAACACTAAACAAGGACTATCGACAGTGTCAGTATTACCATCACTAAACAAGGACTATCGACAATGTCAGAGTTAACAGCACTAAACAAGGACTATCGACAATGTCAATATTACCAACACTAAACAAGGACTATCGACAACGTCAGTATTACCAGCACTAAACAAGGACTATCGACAATGTCAACATCACGAGAACGAAAGAAGGACTATCGACAATGTCAGCATTATCGCACCTCAACAGAATTTTAACCAGCACTGGCGGAGGACATCAGAATACCCTAACGAAGACCTTACAGGGTCAAGTAAAACTGCTACAGTACATGTACATGTATATATTTCATTGGTTAAGCACCATTGGAATCAGTTTTACTTCCTGTTAAAGAAACATTTGAACTATTTTACTACATATATAACTTATTGCATATACATATACAAATAGATATTAAATTATTGCACAATCTAAATATTTATTAAATCGGAAACGCAAAATTTATTTTATGACAATTTGGCCTTTCTTTCAGTAAGGAGAAAAAGTCAATGACCGGAGCTTACGTTAGGAGAGGGTATTTAATGCTTGGAATGTACCTCGAGTTTACATCAAATAATCTAATAATATAAGGATGGAAACAATAAGAGCTTACACATTAAAAGAACCCTAATTTATGCTCGATGAAATGAACACATACAAGGAACAAAAGTAACATTTCCATGGCGATCGCTGAAACATTATAATGAAAATTATATCGTGTGTCCTGTAAGGGTATTCTGCTTCACTGACGACATCCACCATGAAGATCTTGGTCACTTCAAATAATAAATGTCACGTTCTCAAACAACCTTGGAGTTCTTTATTCCATACAGAGTAAACAACAAATAAGAAATATCTCGTCCTCAAACAACCTTAAAGTTGTTAATTCCAAACTGAGTAAACAACAAGTAAGTAAGACCATGTTCCCAAACAACCTAAGTATTGTTTTTTTCTTATAGAATATACCCAAGTGTAAATATATTAGTTAAGGCGTACTGATATAACTTGTAGTAAAATGCTGCTAATTGATAGTTTCATATAAAGGAATTAACGACTTTTTCCATCTTCATAGCAATAAATGGAGTAAAATCCATACATGTGTAAAACAATCGTCAAGTACTAAGCTTTTTCTTTTTTTTTTATTTTCCGCGAATGCACAAAGCGACATTAGGTCAAAGGTCACGGTATCAGCCAATCAATCCGCTTGAATGTGAGAAAAATT